AATTATGCTGCATCTGCTAATTACGCTCTGTATATGTGCTATATCTAATAATTACTGTATATTAATATTTGCTTATGTGATCTAATTTAAATAAAATATCAACGATCCTTTTTTAGATCGTGACACTATAAACTAAATGACAATTTTTTGGACTTCCAGTCCAAAAATTATCAATCTTTATACTACATCTTTATTTCCTGGACGATGGCTCTGCGCTTTTTCATTCTTCAGGAAGTACCAAGCTTTATTTTTTCATCAGTTTGTTTGTTACGATATGACAAATGCCTCAATTTGATGATAAACAATTCCAACAAGTTGAAATTGTTTCTAATCAAAGTTTCATTTTTGTCAAATCTCACAAACAAAAAAAATTTAAACATAATAAATAATTATAATAAAAAAAAATAAACAATATTTATTTAATATTTTAAATAAAAAAAATTATATTACATTTAAATGACTATTTTTTAGATTATTAATTGAATCTTTTCACATTGATGCTACTAATTTAAATGCAGTTTTATAATCAAGATCTGGATTATTTTGTTTAATAATAGGTAAATTTGTTTTCATAAAACTATTATAAGGTAATAATTTTTTACTATTATTCATTTTTATTGCTGCATCATGTTTTGCTAATCTATCAGCATATTCATTACCATTAATATCTTTATGTCAGAATATATGAGTAAAATATACTTTACCATATCTTTTATTTATTAAAAAATGTATTTTTTCAAAAAAATCTTTATTTTTCACATCTTGATTACGAATCGGTTTCTAATTATTTTTTATCCATGTATAGATTCAAGTTTCACATAAATTAACTACATATCTACTATCACTTTTAATTTCAATTATTTTATTTTGATTTTCACAAGTTTCTAATACACAAATTACTGCATATAATTCTGCTTGATTATTTGTTTGTAAATTTTCTGGTAAAGGTTTAGTAATTTCTTTACTTCTATCTTCATAATAAACTCCAATTCCTGCAAAAGATCCTTTTTCATTATTTTTATAACAACCATCAGTATAAATTACTATTTTATCATTAGAATTTAACTTTTCTTCTTTTCTTTTAATTTTTAACTGATAATTATCAAATAATTGTTTTGCTTTCTCAAATGTTAAACATTTTTTAAAATATGCAGAAGGATAATTGTTCACTTGTTCTTTACATACTTCCAAAGTATTATAAATACCTGGAGTATGACCAATAAGAACAATATAATAATAAATATTTAAAGATTTAGGCATTAAATCTGAAGAATGAAAAAGTGCATGAGCATGTCAAGGAAATAAAGATGTGGTATAAAGTAAGAGTTAGTATAACAAGTGAATTAAGTTTCAGACATATATACGAGTTGGGATCCTCCTCTTACCTAAATATTAAAATATTTACTAATTATATAAATAAAAATCTAATTGGTCATAAGACTAATTAGATTGTTTGATTTAATTATAGTAGTAATAACAATAAGTGCAGTTGTTATTTTACATATGATAAATAAAAATAAAAAATTTTAATAATTAATAAAATAATAATTCAGGTTTTATTAAAAAAATAAAAAAAAATAAAAAGAAATAAGAGGGTTTATATAATTTTTGAAAAGCTATTTTTAGAATAATAATAAACAAATTTCATTCATCGATAATTTCAATATTAGAATCATGAAAATCGAGTTTACATCTATTCCTGAATTTAATGTTATCGATGTTTGCTTTAGGATATAATAATTTTAATAAAGATGTTTTGGTTTTCTCATCAATAATGTCTTCTTTTTCAATAATAAATTTATGCTTTTTAATAAAAGATTTATAAGATAAATTGATTAAAAATTTTTTATCTTTTGTTATCATAACTTGAATATATTCAGTTATGTGCTTATCATCATCAGAATACATTAAAGATCTTCTGTAATTCATATTTTCATTATCTCGATACCACCAAAATTTTTCATTTTTTGTTAATTTTATTTTATTAGAATCTGAAATATTAGAATTAAAATTATCTGACTTGTCTGTATTAGAATTATCTGAATTAATATTCATATTGTTAGTAGACATTTTAATAAAATTTAATAATTAAAAATTATGTAAAGAAAAAGCTAATCGGTATAATATACTGATTAGAGTAATTGAATTTAAGCTAATAAATTTAAAACATTATTTAAATCATAATTTGCAGCATTTGAATCATAAACAAGTATTGCAAATTCTTCAGAGAATAAAAATATATATTTTTTATCTACTTTATAATAAATATATAATCCATATTTATGATGCATCATTTGATTAGTTATAATTCTATTATTTAAACTAAATGATTCTTTAGTTTGTAAATTGTAAATATAGTTACTTAATTCAGTATAATAGTAAAAATATGTTTGTAAATGATAATTAAAATCTAATTCTGGAACTACAAAATATTGATAACAACTATTTTTATTTTTATAAGTTAAACTTGAAACAATCTAATCAGAAAATAATGTTGAATATCGTTCAAATTCAAAATTGTCACATTCTTTGGTTTTATCATTTATTTGTAAATGATATTTGTTATTAGTCTTCTTTAGTGATATATTGATCATAATTTGTTTATATAAAACTCTAATCAGTTTTTGACTGATTAGAAACAATTTTATATAAAATTTTTAGTAATAAAAATAAACATATTTCAAATACAAATGCATTAAAAAGTTCGATCAAACAAAATCGTAGATTCGGACCAATTTTAATTAAAAGTTCCTGTGCCATTAAAAAATTATTTACAAAAAAATCTAATCAGTCTTTGACTGATTAGATATATAATATTTAAATATCAAATAGAAAATATGAATAAATAAATGAATTCTAATAGTTAAACTGATTATAAAAAGTGTAAATGCTATGGCTTTAGAAATTTCTATTAAACATAAAGAAGCATTTGGTCCAAATTCAATTATAAATTTTTGAGTAAACATATTGTATAAATGAAACAAATTGGATTCATGCTGTTTTTATATTTAATTTTTCTTTTGGAAATAATAATTGATTCGATTTCATTTTAGTATAAGAATATCTAGTTTATTTTGTTTTTATTTTTTTTTGTTAGTTATGAGTTTTAATTCTACTAATTTTTTCTCTACAATATTCCAGTAATCAACTAATGTAGATTGTTTCAAACATTTTAAATTTTCGTTATATATTACTTCTAGAAATTGTTCAGCTTCTTCTTTTTCTTTTTTCAATAATGGTGCACATATATCTTGTAATGATTTAAAATAGTATAAATAATCTATTTTATGTTTTTCTTTTAGTTTAGAACATGGCCACATCTTTTCATATATTTGTGCTTTATTATCTTGATGTGTTAGTATATAATAGTAAAATCATCCAGGTTCAATTTCAATTCTATAATCATCTTGCATTCTAGTTACAAAATTTATTACTTTTGTGTTGCCACCTTTCTTTATAGGTTGAAATTTTCCATTTGTAAAATCTGTTAAAGATGTACGTTTAAAATCAGAATTGTATTTATCTGTTAGTTTAAACAATTTTAAATCTGTTTCATCAATATATTTTTTGACTACTTTACTTATTATTTGTTCAATACTTTTATCATCATTCATTAAAATTTCTTTTTGATCTTTAAATCCTAATACTAACTATATTATATCTGTTGTGACAGTTCGATAAAAATTTGTTGCATTTTTTTTTATGATTCTTCCTTTCTGAAAAAGTATTGGATTATCTAATTCTACTTTATCTTTATGTTTGATTTCAAAATACATTTTCTTCTGTGGAAATATTCCAGGCATTAAAGTTTTTTCATATGCTACAGCCATATATGAATATCCAGTCTCTTTTTTTAAAACTTCATTAGTATGTACTTGAAGTTTTTTAGAAAATCTAATTGTTTCTTCTATCATTTTAGTCCAAAATTGTTTTTAATTTCTGAATTGTCTATAGGTTTATATTTATCATAAATTTGGTTTAATATACTTGTAGATAATGTATAGAATACTGAATCAGTATCACTATAAATTACATTACATTCTTGTGACTTTATAATTTCCATAACTCGTCATGTAAATGAACGAGCTGAAGCAGTTATAGATAATGCCATTTGTTTATTGTAAAATGGTGAAAATATATATCCAGTTACTCCATAAATTGAATTTGCTAATACTTTTTGAGCATTTGATTTTGATTCATAATATGAATATAATTGTTCATCATTTTTATATATTTTTATTTTTAATTTTGAATCTTTACGTGCTGTTAATAATTCTTCATACATTAAAGACATAATTCCCTTTTTTTTTTTCTCACTATAATGAGGTTTATATTTTCTATATACTATGAAATTATCAGTTATCACATTAAGATTTAGATCATTTGAATTAATATCTACACAAGTATCATTTGATATATTTGAATTAATTATTGCATTTGGATATTCTGATTCAAAATCTATATTAGCAATTGGTACAAATTGTCCTAAAAATTCTATTGATGGCATTTCAGGTGGTATAACTAATCCTCCACCATATTTTGTTATCTCAATCCTTCCTTTTCGAACTATAGATATTAGTATATCTTTTTTAGCACA